CGAAGAGATTCGAGTACTATTTGTCAATGATTTTCTCCATTGCCTTTCTGGATGCTGTAAGTGCTCCGTCTGGGCGCCGGAGAGCAATCATTTTGGTGCCGTTCGATTTTTCACCGACGAATAGCATGTTGGATTTCGGAGGAGAGAACCGGTGGTACAACATATCCATCCTCCTTTATTTCGTATGACGGAAAGTGGACTTGGCTATGAAAGGGATCTGAGTAATATTCATGGATGATTTTTTCCATTGCCTTTCTGGGCGCTGTAACTGTTCCGTCTGGGCGTCGGAGTGTAATCATCTTGGTCTTGTAATTGGCGAAGCTTCGTTGGAGTATGCGAACGCTTTTCCCAACCTGTGCAGCTTCGAACATTACTGCTGCTCGTTTCTTTTTAAGATCTTCTTTTATCTCCTGACTGCATTGTTTTGCAAGTCCAGACGTTAGTTCGCGGCTGCCTGCAGCTCGTGCGATTCCACGCTGGCGTATCAGGTCGAGTGTTTCTGGAGACAGACGTCTCTTGATAATTTTCGAACTTTGAGTTTTCATATCGTTAACATGAAGATGTTGAATGAGCCGATCGTATTCTTCGTCGATGTTATCGACAACGGCGTCTTCCCAACAGCCGACTAATGAATTGAATAAGTCCCAGTTTGTAGTGGTTCTGGTACTTCAGCTTTTGAATTTAGCGGCTTTTTCTCCTTTCCGCGAGAAATAGAATCTTGCACAAAGGAGTCGGTGGTCTGGTCCAGCGTAGAATTTTGGGTCAACAGCGACATCGGTTGGGCAAAACCTTCTATTCACTATGATGTGGTCTATTTCGTTATGGTACGCTCCAATGGAAGATTCCCATGTCCAGCGCTGAGGGTGGGGCTTATGGAATTGCGAGTTACCATGGATGGTCTTCGTCGCATGATAAACTCAGACAACCGCTCACCTTGTTCGTTCCATTCTCATCCGTGGTTCCCAATGTGACGTTCTTCTTGGTCCAATCTTGGCGTTGAAATCTCCAAACTTGAGGAATGTATCGTTTTCTCTGTAGAGCTTTTGCAAGCCCATATAAAACGCTTCGACTTCTTCTTCGTCATAATTTGATGTAGGCGCGTAAACGACGAAGTTTGTTAAAACCGGTATTGATCCACATCTTTTTAATCGTAAACGTCCGATTAGGGTTGTTAGTTGCTCGAATGAATTATTGTTCATGGACAAACTCCTCGTGTTAACGAGAACGCTGACACGGCCGACTCCTTTCCTGTCGCATGTTCCGAGGAACAGTTCTTCTCCGGTTTCATAGGCAGCGTTGAAAGGCTGGCATCTCCTCGTCTCGGCCAGGCCGATGACGTGTGCCTTATCCTTCTTGCTTGCATGAGCAAGCCTTCTATCGAGGACTCGGATGCAAGTGTACGTGTCTTGTAGGTACAGATCGTCACCATAGTTCTTTGAAATCCAGACAGCTTCCATTGGCCTTGAGATTTTAGCAGCCTCTCCGTACTCGTGCTACCCAACGCTGCGAAATTGGGGCCTCTTTCGGGGTCAGGGGAATGAGGCCCGTTTTTTTTTTACTGCGTTTAGCATTTTTTGATACTCACGTATATTGCTGGGCTCTGAACGTGGGGACTGGGTATACTCACAGGTAGCTTGCCAGGCTCTCTCTGAGTAGACATGGAGCTTATTTGTTGGAGGCGACTCCTCACCGCTTCCCACATACTTCCTAGTCATTTGATTGCAGGCTTTTGGCCGAATTGACTCGTAGAATACAATCCACATAGGCGAGAACGCACCCACACACGCATCCATGAATACGCCTAGCAAATACAGAAAGTATGTGCCAGATCAGTGCAGCAGAAACAGGGAGTCCATCCCCTGGATCCACCTGCGTCTCAGGGTGGCAAAGGTCGTTTTTGGTCCGCGATTAACCCCTATCCTCCACCAGGGGACGCGCCACGTAGCCTCGCGACTAACCGGCTCGAGATCTCTCATATGAGGGAGATCCGTAGATATATATATATATATTTGACGCGACTAGTGCAGTAGTTAAACATGCTGTGTAATACTCATGTGATAATTTCTTTTATCCCTGCTTGCCGGGTAAAGCATATCCTTCATCACACCTGGATCGGAATTTATTAGCGCTTTTGTTATATGTGGCAGAAAATAAACACCGACTTGATACAGCAGTAGGCTATCGTAAGTCGTTGTATAATGGGCCAAAAATTTATTCAATTACATCTTATCCGTTTAATAAAGTCAAATGCAGAGCGCATCTCTTAGAAGCTGGTCAAAGCTGAACACTTTGTCCTATTATCATCATGCGTAACTGTCAACCAGAAAACTCAAACGAATCAAATTGCAGCCGGTACGTGAAGTGATGCGGTAATCTAGAGCTCCGGTTCTCCATTACCACAACATGGTGTACATCGACCTCTCGCGCAGCACCACGAAAGGCCAGTCGTCGAAGGGATTCTCGTCTAATAAGGATTGATTACTCAGGTCCTCATTCTGCACCTTTCAGACAGTTGCGGCGTCCTACGACGACGGATGCGAAAACAATGCGATATTAGACGCTAATAGTAGTCCGACGTGTTTGTTTTTGCAAAAGTTCGCCGAATCGAAACACATGGAAATCCAACTATTTTTATGCAAAACGGATTGTAATTTACGATACTACGATGTTTGCTTTTAAAAGATAAGATCATTTTCATTGTGAATCTCTCCAAGGTTGTTGTTGAAAATGTTTTGTCGAATACCACTGGTACGGTATTGTCCGTGTCTTGCATTCGTATACCAAATAAACAGTGACATTCATCGCCTTGTTCGGCTTTCAGTGATATTGATTTGGTTTTGACAGCGATACGAATTTTGTACCGAGTTTCTCCGACTAACGAGTAATTTTGGACCACACGGTACTTGAAAAAGGATTTCAAACATTCTACTTGTAAAATCCTGTATTAACTCTGTAAAAAGTTAGACGCCCCTGAGAAAAATACTCTCGACTACTTATTGTACCTGACAACGTCTTAGGACGTCCTTCTTAAGTTTCTATGAAAAATGACGTACAGTGATCAGGATGTTAATGGGAAAGGATGATGTAAGATCTTCAAGTTCCAACCGATTCCACATCGATTCAGCTACGTTTATGAATGATGGTTGTGAAACACGGAGCGAATTTGAGAGGTATTAGAAAGGTGCGATGGCAGATCATCTAGGTGAACAACTATGCTGAGAATAAGGGCTCTGGAAAAACTTTTGCTGTCGAATTGAGGTACGCTACCTCACCTCCACATTCCATCGCCTATCAACCTCTTCACTTCGTCGAATTCACGAAACCTTTCTTCAGCCAAAATTAGAACAGTTTAAAGAGCTGAATTATCTCGATCTACTTGGTGTGATCCTCACTCAAGCACGTAATGGTTTTGCCTTCTTCACATTTTTTCCCATGTCATTGACAACCCATGACAACCATTTTTTGATGGCAATTTTCGTTTTTCACAGTTTTTTTATCTATCTTAAGAATTTTAACTGATTTGGTAAGATAAACAACATGGTTACATATGAAGCTAGTTTGCAAAGTAAATTAATGGACAACATGATGAATTGGAGTCTGCGGTACCTAAACTTGGGCGATGCAACGACGTTTTCGGTACGAAACGACAACTGAAGCCTGTCAAATTTAACGACTGCAAGAGTTTCGTAGTTAGATTTACAAATAATATAGCTAAAACATGTATACTTACATATATACATATATGTAAACGGGCTAGTTCGAAAGGAACGAAATTGTTAAATATATGATATAACAATTAATGTCTAAACAATTTAGACGGGATACTTATTTTTACCACTTAAGTGCAGTCAGAATAATTGCACACTGGTATGAACAGTGAAGAACTTTTAAAGAAAGTCGTTTGAAATACTGATGGCCCTCGGTCTCCCTCATCACTACAACTCTTAACGAAACGATTACAATGGAGAGCTATCCAGAAATCGATAAAATACTTCAGAAATCAAAACTCTTCTATACAGCTTTAATCAGTACAAATGATCCAAATGTTTCGCAAAACAATTAGTCTTTGATCAACTAACAGCATGAGGCGCTTGGGTCCGGGCCTCTGTCTAACCCACTGACCAAGCTCACATTTATAGTAACCATCCACCATGATCATCGCATTTCTAAGATTAACAAAGTATAAACCGTCCCGCGGTAGTCTACCAACTAGTGATGCACTGTGTCTGATTTCTTCAAACACAAAAATGTTGGTTTATTGCATACCTGGCTTGTACAGTGGCTTGTGTAGCTTGCTTTTGCATTAAGTTCTATCCTTTTAAATAAGTCTAGTATCGATTGACCAATACAGAAGCGATGAAGGCCTAACTGAGCCGACGGTGCTGTACCAAAGTAACGACTATTGTATATTGCAGGCCACCTCTTACCACCGCGCTACGCATTCATATCACAGGTGTTACGTTCCAGTAAAGGCGCGCCTTATAACAACAATGTTAAAATGGAGCAACTTTGTAAGAATTTCTCTAAAAAATCAGCTTCTGTTAAAATATGGGAACGAGTTCATACTATTTTGGGTTTCGATGGGCAGTTATTCATCCTTTAATGGGAAGCATGTGCGAACTGCACATGCTCAAGAGACCTATTTAGCTCTTACCTCGAATTGTTCGATTTCTTTGGAATGTATTATCACATTCATTTATTTTGTCACATTCTTAGTGGCCTGCAAGACTTTACAATTCGATCTATTGGGAATGGGTCTACTAAAGTATTCTAAATTAGAGTCAGTTTAATAAAAAACATTCTACCCACTCTTTTAAAACATTCTACCAGCTTACTGAACAATAACGACCAGCATTCTAAAGGATATAGATCGAGCTTTATTCGTCATTCATTACAGACAGAATTCACTCCCAGAAGATAGTATAAACATTTGCCGTATAATGTAAAGGTGAAAACCAATGTGACACTGGAATGCTGATAGATTTTAGAGCCTCTCATGTTTACCTATCATAATACTTTGAATGCGAAGCACTTCTTCTTTCCCTTAATGGTGGCGCGGGTTCAGGTAATAATTTACGGCTGGCCGATTTTTCAACCTGTGTACCCTCCACATCGAAATCACTACCCAGATTTCGCACAATCTTTTCTGTTTTAGGTGCCCGTCGTGATTTCTGCCTTGTAGCATTCTTTGCATTATCTGCTCCTTCCGCGTCGCCACCTGACGGCCCAAAATTCTCATATGCGCTCTGTTCTTGCTCTAAAAATTAGCATAGATATGAAACGAAGCATGAGAGTTTTATGGTTAACGTACTCATGTTCTCGACTTCGTGCAGTAATGCCAAATCGGCCTTGTTCACTTCACTTAATGTTTTGCCTTCACAGTTGTCATTCTCTGTAACTATCTAGTAGTAAATGCACATCATTTTATCTTTGACTTCGCACCATTTTTTTCAGCTGTATTCACATACGCATAAGGATAGACCTTAAGCAGTAGGCAGAACTCAAAAGGAAGTTCCTTACAAGACTCGCTGCCTGCTTAGTGGCTACCATTTTGGGACTGTATTCTTCTACTCAAGTTCAAGTACAATGAGTGAGATGACATGCACTAGATCTCTCGTCGACACCTATCACATGTTTATCACAACTGCGGCTAAACAAAAAAAAGGCCCGCAAAATCGGCCAAAACAAGCAACACCAGCTGAACGTTCCGCATTTTTAGGAAGAGCTATTGTTCTATTCTACAGCACGCGAAATAGGTTTAACAAAACTGGGACTCTCTATGCTTGATTCCGCGCGATTCTCTACGCACTTTTATGAGCACCGAATTGAATGCTCCGTGTAGTAGCTGTTTTTTATTTTCCAAATGATATGCAAAAGAAATACATGAAAGAGGACACGACATACTTTGCAGGCCTAGTTTACAGCGGCCAGCAAATATCCAACTAGTAAGGCACACTACTAGAGCATTGGTGATTTTCTCGTTATAAATTTGGTTTTATGAGTGCGTGCGAACGCAAAAGATACGAAGACAAGTAGCGCCAGATTCAAATTAACTCTAGTTAATCTACGTAATTGAATTATGCGAGAAGAAGTCTAAATCGTAGTGATGAATTTATATTACTCTCTAAATGTGCTCACTCTTGATTCCTCGATTGCTTGTCGGCGTTCGCTTTTCCTCAGCCGGAGTTCTCTCAAGCGAAATCATAGAACTCTAAAATTTCGAGTAGGAATTCGACTTAGGGACTTAGGAATTCGAAACGAAAATATCAAAAGCTGTTAGACGCCAAATCTTTCAAAGTCCAACGATGACCTTTCTTCAAGTCAAGTCCATTCGCCACAACATGGCCTCAATGAGAGTCACACGATGCAAAAATCATGGTCGATGTAAAATTTAAATCAACATATCTGAGCTCATATTGAGTTTTATCAATTGTAATAGAGGCTGCTGCTGCTCACAACTCCTTGTCTACAACAGGAATTTTTTGTTTTACCATAGTATGGTTTTCCTGAGCCCATGATCTATTTTTAGCTTTGTTTCTTCAACGCTCACATTTCGAACAGGTCAGTAAATGGTCAAGTGCGTTTTCCTTCCGCAACAAAGGATGTTGTTCCTCAATGTACTGTTCTCATATTCGCAAGTGTTTTTCTTTCCTTAAATATTTAAAAACTCTAGTTCTGTCGTTAGTTTGTTAGAACCTTCAATCCTTGACATATTCAAATTTAAAAGAAGAATATATGAAAATTATGTATGCGATGAAAGGTATGGAACAAAGTTTCTTCCATAAATCTATAAAGTGCTAGGCTCCTGTAATACTTTAGGGAACAGTGACCACAAGATGAAAATCAGAGGGAACCATCAAAAAGTACAACAGGCAAGAAAGACCACAAGAGATCGAGGATTTTCAATAGTACATGGGACTGGAAGCTTAACGTTATTCAAGAATCATTTCTCATCGCTGACAAACGAAGAAATAGACGACACTCGGGGCAACATATAATAGCTTTATTCCATACCTCAATGAAATCACAAAGGAAATTTAATTGCGGGCGCCACCAAATACGGGCTTTTTCATCCACTTGAGGACTAATTATGGGAAGTTGCACTTGTTGAGGGCAATAATCGTATGAAATCTAATCTTGTGAAACGGTACAAAGGTAGGATGAACAGGCGTAGAAAGGAGGGCAAGGATACTAGAAGAAATCTGAGAGCTACTAGAAATATCCCAGGTCTTCTACAATCCCTTTTTCAAAGTTCCGTAACTCCATCTCATCAACAAGTAGGATATTAGACCCCAGATTGTGCCCTTATCAACACTGATCGTCTATTTTATATTGCATTTTATCAGCTACTTGTTCAACGTGTATGTAAAAGATAGTTAGCTTTTCCATTTCCATTGTTCTGCTTCGCTCACTGAAAACTCCTTAGACTACCATTGGTGGCAAGAACTAAGTCACGGATCCCTAGATAAATAGTGGTTAAACACAAACCAAAAGTGACCATGGACTTTTTTGAGACCAACATCGAATGAAAGGATGAGTTCTTTTTTCATGTCGCGTGAGATTGACCAACATGTACATTTATAGAGAACTTCTCTCTTGAAAAGTTCTTTATCTATCTAAATAATAGTATGTCCAAATACGGCAGCCTCGCAGTCGCACATCAAACACCGCAATGTAACCTTTTGTAATCAACGCGATCAATTATGTTCAGTGTTTCAGGCACAATGGCGATTCGGATTGACTTCGGTAGCATATCGACGATGGCTTATCCGAAGGAGGCGTAACAGTGGAACAGTTTACTACTTCCTTGCGAAACAACGAAGCTAATGACGTTTGATGTTTCGGGCAGTTAGGTACAGTCTATTGCGGTTCAGGATCAACAATCCAGATTAACCGCGGTTGCATACGCACGCGGCTCCCGCAGCCGATATAAGCCAGGTGCCTTCGACGGCGGAGACATGCCATCACTCACCTTACCCCCGGTCAGTAGCACGGATAATCCGCTCCTCACAACATCATCCTCAATCACCTCAACTCATTTTTAGTCATACTCATTCATTCTTATTCAATCACATTCATTCACACATTCACATTCATCCTTCAGTAATCAACTGATTATTGTATCTCGTTTCTCAGCTTGTCTATGGTGCGATGTCAGTAGTGGAGGGTGTTTCCAAATGCGTTCTGTTTGCAACGCCATCGGTGGCATGTACTATTCCTCCCATAATGTGCACAATGTGTACAATGCCGCTAAGCGGCCAACTTATGCTATGTATTCTGCTAAGCCGCTATAGGCTTGTCAGTTTTCTAGCCATTTATCATACTGGCCCTTGACCCTTAGGCAATGGTGGCACCCATCGATGCTCAAAGTTCACCTTGCTGACATACCCCCCCCACTACGGGCCTTACCACCTCAAAGCTCTAACTTGTGTCATTCCTCTACCATTACTTCTCTAACGTTACTATTATGTTACTAGTGTTGTATTATGTATTAAAGGTTTAATTACCCAGGTTTGGGGCTGGTAGATCAATACAACAACTAAAAGACCCGCGTGGCTAATATTCTACATCAATCTGAACCGCTACACTTAGCCGCTAACCATTTCGTTACAACATATACTAGTGTTTTGACATCTTTCACGATTATATCTTACACACTCAGTCGGTGTAATGCCTCCAATAAAGTGACCTACAGTTCTACGGGAAGTGATGCTAGGCCACCAAAAATCCCCTCACCCCGAATATTCCAGTGGATCTCAGTAAACTCCGTGTGAGCGTACTCAGCATCTATGGCACTCTCGGAAAAGTTACCGTTCAGTATTTGCCTCCAATAAAAGTTTGAAAAAATGCTAACCCCTCTTAGCCCTAAATTGCCAACGCCACGGAATTCAGTGGATCATGAAAGAGGGGCTGCTGAAAATTTGCAAAAATTCTAGACTCCCTAAATCGGATACGACCGTATAATAATATGTAATTGAACACATTAACGCAAGAACACACCAGCATATTTGAGCTTTTGATGATACAAGCTCAAAATATAGGCGACGAATTGACCTGCTGGAGGCGACTATTCCGCAGTACATATGACGACAGAAGGGTACGCCGCGTTTTATAAAAAAAAAGTAGAAAAGGTGTACAAAAAATTTTGTATTTCTCCTCGAGATGACTGGAATCACACAGGGTTGAATATAATCAGACAACTAGTGTAAATCTTCAACAGTTGCAAAATCATTGATTTCATTCACACTGCTGTGACACTCATCTCATTTAGCCAGGATGTCAACACGCAATTCAATGTGAAGCTCTGGAAAACTTTACAACAGACTGGAATGATGCCATGTTAAACAAACCACGTAACCTTGCGTGACCCGTTGATGTAATCACGTGTATTTACTCTTTAAGTAAAGTGAGTTTATTGGCAAACTCTATGTGTGACCAGAAAGCATGGAGTAATATATGATTCCCTTAATCAGCAGAATGGACCTATACGGGTGACTCGACGACCCCAATCCGAGTGACACCTTTTTTATTTCAAAGCTGTACGCACAAAAAGCATAGAACCATTGCAGTGGCATTTAAATCTAAAATAACGCAAATTGTTTGCTAAAATTTTATTTGATTCTTGAAAACATGCGTCAGTCTCGTCAAATAGATGGAAGGCCGTGGTAGACTAGTTTTCCAACGAAGCAGATTGCTAACCTTAATTGCATCGTTGATGAAGTTGCCTACTGGTATACTAGTGGAAATATTTTTGATAGAGAATATCAGGGCAGTTATGCAGGCAAGATAAGTCGACCAACTGCTGCTTAGCAGCTCAGCTTAATCCCATAAATGATAAAGGATAAAGCTCTCAGCGTTGACCAATCCCTTAGGGATGCGCCATCCATTCGACTCTATCAAGCACCGTTTGGAGATGACTGAATGTATATCTATCCTTTACAATGACTTGTGGTGTCCTACTGATGTATCAAGCCAGTGCTGCTATGATCTAAAGCAAATCTGGTACCAATTTACCGACCATGGAGGAATGGAGAACTTGGTGAGACCACGGGCGCGGGGATCGAACCATGTGTATTGCAGGGCGCCTCTGAGTATTGCGCAACACGCACTCTTTCATAATCCCATAAGATAGAAATATTCGGTCATGTCGCTTCGTTTCTCACCGCTATTATTTTGTGATGGCGGCCTTATGAATGCTATCACTAGCCTTCGAAACGAGTCCACTTGATGGTCCACTTGTCTGTTGACTGTTTACTAGAGAATTTATCGCTGCGCAGTCAACCGTGAGCTCGGCCTTCATCACGTCAATACGTCATCACCACGTAAAACTCACTCGTGCTGAACTTTGCTGGCCACCTTCTACTCTTTTCTTCTTACAGCATATCACGCCAA